ATCAAAAGTCATCATAGCGACTTCACTGTCATTTCTCATTAAGCGCAGCGAAAAGGTACGCATGTTTTTCGAAATTCACAACTTTCGGAAGTTTTATTTTGGGTAGAAAATTGATGCAACAAAATATTGTTTGTTAATCTAGCGGTAAAAAAGAAAATACCGTTATGAAAACTTAACTGGAGAACAGTAAAACTCTTTCTAGTGAATCTCCAGTGAATCTTTCCAGTGAATCTTTTACACCATAAATCAACTGTAATCATAGCGACTTCACTGTCATTTCTCATTAAGCGCAGCAAAAAGGTACGCATGTTTTTCGAAGTTCTCTACTTTCGCCAGTTTTCTTGGGTAGAAAATTGATGCAAAAAAATATATTATTTGTCAATCTGGCGATAAAAAAGAAAATACCGTTATGAAAACTTAACTGTAGAACAGCAGAACTCTTTGCTTTTCCAAGCGGGAAAACGGGACAACGATTCAATTTATAGGATGAAGAATAAGCCTTTAATTAGGACAGCAAAGAATGCTATCGAGAAACTATTACCAACATTTATATGATGTTCCCTACTGCGAAGGATAACGATTTTCTGCAATTTATATACTATTAGCTGATAAACTAAGTTAAACTATGAAGCATTTCAAGCCTTTTTGGCCTTTGACTCTGTTGTTTTCTGAGTAAAGGTCCATGTGGTCTTCAAAAGGTTATAAGGTATTCAGGATAACACTGATTATCAAAGAAAACAACAAATTTGCTGGGGCTTGATTGGTCATCTACCACAGAATCGTAAAGAATTTCAGGTTTCGATGGATTTTTCGGTGGAGGCACAACCATTGAAGAATCTCCAACACAATACTGCCCCACGAGGACCTTGGCAAGGTACATGTGGCGACTTCCATAACTACCATCCCCAGCGAATCCAACAGAGTATTGAGCGTCTCTAGCGAAATAAACGCCGCGTCCAAAGACCGTGCCTGAAAAAAGGAATACTTAATTAAGAGAAAAAGTACCAAAAAATCATACATTCGGTGAAGTTAATTGTTATGAAAGAGGCAATTGGATTCTCCTCATATTATTACAGCTTTTATTACCATGTTTGGTTCCAAATAGTGATTCGGCCAGAGCTCGTGCAACGTCTGAGTGACTTGGTAGGAC